GCTCCTCACATGCACTGGCTCCTGCCTGTCCATTTCCCCTCCTGCTGTGCTGCTACTGCATGGGTGGGGTGGGGGAGACTGGCATAAGCCATTACACATAAGGAGCCTGCCCCTCCCCCCAGGCGTGTCAGAGGCCGCACAGGGGGAGGGGCCGAATGTAATCGTGCACATTAATCGATGAGCCCAGGTTCATTGGTTAACCATGTAAATCAGGGCTACTCAACTCTGGAAGCCCCAGGGGTCACAATGATACTCTCAGCACATGCTGAGGGCCACAACTTAAGTGCATATGGTGTTGCACATATATATGCAAATAGCTTCTGTCACACTGATGGGAATGAATACAAACATAAGGCAAGACTACACAACATGCAGGCAGGCCCCGTTTAAGTCAGTTCTGCTCCTATTAATAAAATGCAATATCTACCTGATTTCTACCCATATGACAGCACTTTTAATGAGCAATGCTAGTCCAGGAATTTAACTGCTAAAGCGCATATCAACAGAAGGCCATTCTATTGACTACTTTTTTGTTTTGACACAGGGGGGGCTTGGGCAGCGAGGCAGCCCAAGCGCGCCTGGACTGCTCCGGGGGGGGGAAGGGGGCCTCGGGCAGCGGGGCAGCCCAGGCGCCCCTGGGCTGCCCGAGCCCCTCTGCGGCTTTGCTCTGCGTCTTCTTGGTCTGCAGACCAGGGAGACGCAGAGAAAGCCCCAGAGTACACGGGCGGCAGGACCGCGAGGTCCCGCAGTCCGTGTACTCTGGGGCAGCCCCGTTCGTAACTGCGGATCCGACGTAAGTCGGAATCGCGTAAGTTGGGGACTGCCTGTATTTGATACTAAGATCATCAGTCTAGAAGAGGAAGGTATTGCATGATCCAGTGGTTGGAAGTTGAAGCTAAACTAATTCAGACTGGATTTAAGATGTACATTTTTAACCATTAAGGGAATTTGGAACAATTTACTAAGGGTCATGGTGAATTCTTCATCACTGGTCATTTTTGGAACAAAATCACATGTTTCTCTAAAGAGTATGCTCCAGGAATTATTTTGAGGAAGTTCTATGGCCTGGATTACAGGAAGTCAGTGTAGATAGTTACAAGGGTCCCTTCTGGCCTTGGAATCTGTGGGAGGACAGGGCACTCTTTATTTAAGTGAAGAGGTACCAGAGTTTTCTAATTAACAGACATGTCACCAGTCTGGGACCCAGATTATGGAATCCTTGGTCTCATTGGGTCGTACCCTATTCCACAAAGAGCCTCACTGAGCTCAGTGAGAAGGCACACCTCTCTTATTGGCAAACACCCCCACCGCCAGGCTGCCTTAGGTAACACCACACCTAGCATGTTGGCTTTGTCTTTTGTGGATTATAATCTAAGGTGACTCTACCCCTTCGTTGTAGAGAGACCCTAGGTGCCTACCTTAGGCTTTGAGGATGTCAGTGTTGTTCCTGTGATTTTCTAGGCACTTGGAAGTTTGGTGTTGCAACATTCAGGGTCGCCCCTTTGAATTCAGCCCTTGGTGAGGGTGACAGAACAATTTCCACTTGATTTTGTTGTAACACAAGCAAACACCATGTACGACTCCTGTAAACCCTCTCAGCTCTTGTACCTTTAAGCCAAATACATGTTAAATAGTCAGAAAGAAAAAGTAACCCTGACATCACATATAGTAGTCTCTTACTGTTTTAAGCATCTGATGCAGCAAACCCATACTTACATTAGTACTTACTCATGCTAGCAACTCCCGAAGGAAGAATTTGGAGACTTGGGCCGTGCGTATGTTGAAGTAGGTTTGGTAATTCTGTAGGACGTTCTTTTTTTATATAAAAACAATGACTTAATTCTAGAGTGAGGCTGAGTGAATAAAAATATCCCTGTAAAAAACAATGCAGTGACTAACGTTATAGATCCTGTAAATTTTTCCACATGCCTGGGTCTCTGCACCCCACATGGAGTCTCACTGAGCTCCATGTCGACACTGCAAGAACAGACCTGCATTGTATACGTGCAGGGCTCTGCCTGTTCAGAGGAACAAGGCAGGATGGGGGCTTGTATTAGTATACGAGTTCTCAGGACACATTTTTGGTAGCCTCAGAGTGCAGCTACCAACTCTTGCTAGTGGCCACTCTCACTTTTCCCTAAAACACTTAGTGAGCTTTAGGGAGAAATAAATTACACACACATACACATCCATGTATTTATTGCTAGCTAATAAGCCTGCTGTGCAAAGTGCTGTTAACAAACATACAAGCATCACTTTTCCCAGCATCAGACTTACTCAGCTCTGGCAAGCCTGGGGACAAATTAGGCCCTGAGGGAGTGGAGAGGACTAAGGGAGGCAGCAGGGGGCTGCAGCTTGAAGCCCAATGACTGGAATACAGAGTCTGAAGATATGCCACATGAGCCCAGGGCTGGAGCCTGAAGCCTCCGCAGCCATAGCCTGCCTACTAGTGTTGACAAACAAATCCCTGAGCCCCACTG